TCATATTCACCTCTACTCTCAGATCTTTTTCAGTCACTGCTTCCTTCCTAGGATAGATTCCCCCTTCTGTAAGTATGAACTAAATTTTTCTCCTAGATTTATAGATTTACAGTTAGCCATATTAAAATGAATATTGTTTGCTTGCATCTAGCTTATCAAGTGGTTCAGATCACTCTATATCAGTGGTCTGTCATTTACCATTCCCCCAATTTGTTGTGTCATTGGCAAACTTCATCTGGAATGATCTTGTGTTTTCTTCCAAGTCATTAATAAAAATGTTAGATATGTAGGGCCCGGAACAGATCCCTGTGGGATCCCACTGGAAATACACCTGCTCAATGATGATTCCCTGTTTAACTGATAGGTCTCAAATTGTAACTGTAAACAGCTTTAAATTAATGTGTGCCATGTTAATTTTATACCATTCTAATTATTAATCAAAATGGTATGTAGTACAAAATCAAATGCCTTAGAAGTCTATGTATATTATGTCAACACTATTATTTTTAGCAGCTAAATTTGTAATCTCATAAAAAATCAGTTTCACAGAATCTATTTTCCATAAATTGATTGGCATTTATTATATTACCTGTCTTCAATTCTTTATTTTAATCTCATATCAGCTGCTTCATTATCTTGTCTAGGATCAATATCAGACTGACAGGCTTATAATTGCCTGAATCATCCCCTTTTAAAATATTGGCATAGCATTAACTTGTTTCAGTCTTCTGGAATTTCCCCAATCTTCTAAGAGATGCTGAAAATGAATGTTAAGTCTCATGCAGGGAGCTGTGAGGCAAGAGGGAGTGGTGGTGGCGGCAGCGCCTCCACCTGCCCCGTGAAGTGGGGGGAGGGGAGGATGGGTGAGAGCACCAGCCCCATCAGAGTGATCCCGGTGAGCTCGGGCAGCCATGATAACAAGTTGTTCTTCTGCTTCCTCTTCCAGCAGACCCTGGAGCACTCAGCCACCCTGGCCAATAAGTGACAGTGTGGGGCCATGGGCCGGGCAGCCAGGTGCACAAGGGCTTGGTGCCAATCTCAGGGATTGGCCTCACCCTGGGCAACGCTGAGGGGCTAGAGGTGGGAGTGAGGACAGCTTGGGGGCCAGTGTCCAGGCATTGGGTGGGTGTTTCCTGAGGTGAAGGGAAATGAGGCAGGAGGGAGGCGAAGGAAGATGAATGCCCTCATAAAGTGAGCAAACTTGGAGAAGTGGTGGGTTATTCATTGGGTGGGTACAGATGCACAGCAAAATAACACGTGACTGCTCAAATGTAACTACCATAATGCATAAGCAAATATTTCAGTGCTGGTCTGCCAAAAGTTTTTGAATGAGTTTGCCAGTTGGGAACCACTCATGTAGAGAGCTTCCCAGTCAGCTCTTTTAAAACTCATAGATAACTTTTATCTGGATCTGCAGATTTTGAAATGTCTAACTTCAATAACTGTTGTTTAATAGCCTCATGGCTACTAGTGGTACAGAAAGAATATTATATGATATGACTACATTGTGTTTTACCCCAAACATGCAACAGAGGCTGGGGCTAGACTGCGGGGGGGGGGGGGGTTCAAAAAAAGATTCTCAAATTGCACTTCGCAATTTGCGTAATGTTTTCTGATTGTTTTTACGGAAGAGGCTTTTCCGAAATTTGACCTGTCTACACTGGGCCAAATTTTGGAAAAGCCTTCCAAATTTCATAAATATGAGAGGCTCTTTCGGAAGTCCTATCTGCTGTTCTGCAAAAAAAGTCAGCAGAGCAGATGCGTTCCCTTGACGCGGCAGCGTTCTTCTGGGACAGTATCCTGAAAAAACTCCATAGTCTAGACATAGCCAGAAATAGTTACTGAATATGCTTGCCTTTTCTGTATCGATTTTACAATTTTAAGCTAGATCAATCCTCTTGTTAAGAGTACTTTTTGTTCATAATATACTATATCTCCTTATTGTTCTTAACTCCACTGGCCACAGGTTTCTCGTGTCCCTTTGCTTCCCATATCTATTTTCTACAAGCCTTAGCTTCTGATTTATATTTATTGCTATCAGCTTTCCATTTTTTATTTTGTTTTGTTGTCTTCATTCTCTCTCTAAACCAGGGTTTTTTTTTAACCAATTCTTTCTCCATTGTGGCATCTAGTAAAATATTCTTAAACCATTCCCAATTACCAGTCACATTTGTTTTAAATTCTTTCATGATTTGACACTGACACTAGCACCTTCAATTTCATTCTAAACTGCATCTTAGAAGGAAGACACTTTCAGCAGAAAGAAATTGGCAGTTTGCAAAAAATGCTTCCTTGTCTGTTCATAGCTGAGTGCATACAGTGGAAGTTTTCCTTTAAATTGCTAGTATCTCTGCTGAGCAGCTTTCTACTGAGTCATGACTCAATAGAAATACAGTAGCCTGAATGAATTGGAAGTCACAGTACTGACTATAATTATCTGTAGAGTTTTTATAGTTTAAGTGCCTTTTGTTTGTACACTTTGAAAGGGATTCTGTTGAATTTTAACAATATATTTCACATACTATGACTTTGTCTATCTGAGAATGTCAGTCAACACAGTAAATTTGTCATGTGAATCTTCCTAGTGCAGAGGACCAGCGCAAACCCCCTCTGGGCCAGTGAAAGCAGTAGCTTTGATTCACAGTTGCCTGCAGCCCTTCTATGCCAGTTTGGGTCCCTTGCAAGAGCAACAGCAGAAGACCAACAAGAGAAGGACCATATGCCTGCTGTGGAAGAGGACAACTCTGCATTGCTGCCAGTGGGTCAGGGACAGGCCAGAGGCAAGATAGGGGCAAGATGTGTTGGCAACTCTGCCTTTGCAGTAGTCCACCCAGGACACTGAAGCAAGCATACAAGCCAGAGCTGGCATTAGGTGTGGACTGACATAGCCTGGTCCAGGAACCAAACAGGCTAGATGCCCCTAAAAAAGGAGGCTTAGTTATCCTCCTTTCCTGTCTCTGCTGGTCCAAGGATGAGCTTGTCCTATTTATCCTATTTTTAAATGGGGGAAAATGGAGACAGGAAGTCTGTTAGGTAACTTTTTAAAAAAAAAAATCTCAATTTACTAAAGTCTTAAGTAACTTAATATTTTTTGCAACCTTTACTAGCTTTTTCTGGACTACTGTGAAATGTGCAGAATAATACTCATCTGAGTATGAAAACTTGAGAGATAGCAGTGTGTCTTCCTGTGGAGGAAAAATGGGTACTGTAATTTGTTCCTATTTTAAGTTTGTCAATTTCTGATTCATGACTCTTCCATTCCTGCAAAAATTTACTAGAATTCTTTATGGTATAGTTTATATAAAGGAGAGGGCTTTCTGTTAGAAAAGCCATGCTGATTTCGCCTTTATTCACAGAAGCATAGAACAATAGACTACTGGAACTAAAAGGGACTTCATCAGGTCTTTACATCTATCTCCCTGCCTGGGGCCTCATTTATTTTCCTTAATAATCACTGTTTCAACCACTGTTTCTGCTACAGAAGTAATGTTGGCTGGTGTGTAATGACTGGAATGACCCTTCGCTTTTCTGGGAGGGTTTTTCAACGAAGACTCACTAACCTGTCATCCCTTAAACTCATGGGATTTTTATGAAAGATTATGTATTTTGTAGCTTATCTACCTTAACTTGCACTAGAAAGAATGGCGCTGGGTGTAGTCTGCCTATTGGTTACGCTTGGTCCACACCTCACCTGCATGGCATCATCTTTAGAGGCAAAAGAAAGGGAGGTCAGGCAGAGTCCCTGCCCTTGTACTATGGCAGAAGGGGCGGGAAATGATGGGCCAGGCTCTGCACATTTCCGAGTGTCACCAACCCTGCCCCAAGGTCGGTAACTCCGAAGCATCACGCGGAGTAAAACATACACACAGCGCGTGCTCGGGCGAGGGCCGCCGCCTGGCTGCCAAGTGCAGTAACCCCCTAGCCAGCGGGTCGGTCACAGAGGGCGGCTCCTCGCTCCCTTCCCCCCGCGCCCGGGGGTGGGGAAAAGTCTCGCTTCCCGGGTGCGGCGGCCCGCCGAGGCGGGGGGGGCCCCCC